CTTTCTCATTCGTTAACGACTCTTTCGTTTAGAGCAATCGACTCGAGACTCTTCACAGGAAACAGAAAGCACAATAAACCAGCCCACTGCCGTTAAAATGTTGCTTGGAATAGCGATTGTTACACGTTCATACTTAATTAAACTCGTCGAGGTAATAATATGTATTAAATTATTCATGGCCTATAATAACGTAAACCTTTAATTTTAGTTGGTATTTGTGATGTGTGGAATTTTCTTTACGTCTGTACTGTATACTTGGAATAAGGCAACGTAGTCCTAAGAAAATCACGAAAGAACAAAGGATTTCATAAAGTATCAAGTTGTAACAGCCCTTTAACACAAAATGGTTGTTTTATTCTCGACTTTTATCAATCCCCCTTTGAACGGGGCTTTGGTGACTCATCAAGAATTATTAAAAAAATGTAGGAAGGTACTTGTGCGAAAATTACAATGGAACACCAATTAAAAAGATTTCCCTGGAACTGATTAACCTTTTTTTCCTAATTGACACTTGTTTTATAACGAAAAGGGTCACTTTGAATTAAAAAAGTATCAATTGAGTGAACTTCGTATACAGCCTTCTCGAGTGTTCTATTAATTACTGATACTATTAAAATTATTCAGCGTAGAATTTTTCGCTGAAAATTATTTAAAAATTTTGTAATAAAACACCTCTCCTAGTTTGTTACATGGCTTTCATTACTGGTAGATTTGAATTACACGTATCACAGTCATAAGAGTCAAATAGTATTAATACAACTACTGAAAAATGTTGTAAAAACATATAAATGCCAAATATCTAAAACACTTCAAAGCAATATATTTTGTTAAGAATGTCGATCTCATGAATGTAGGACCTCTGGCAGTCTTTAATAACGCAGATGAGCATAGTGCATACCCAGCTGTAGTATAGGGTGTCAAGCGAGAAAGCCTTTCTGTGTCACCCCTCGCAGCGCGGAAAGCGCCATGCCCTATATTTTCTATGAAAACTGTTTGCGTGCTAAAAGTCCCTTTTACGAACGTTTTCTTCTATCATCCCGGAGTTTCTTAAAGCAAACGAGGCTTGTATTCACACGGCACTCTCCTTGAAATGAAACAATTTTATGATTAAGTTATTACATTTATTTTAATTTATTCGTGACAAATAATGACAATACCTACATCAATTATTAATATAATTACTAAGTATTGAGCGTATGAGTTCTCTCAATTCCTAAATCAGCCAAGCCCACCAGACCTTCAATGTGACCGAACAATCGCATGATTTCTCGAATATTTACAATATTCACATAAAACGTGACTTATGTACCAGATGTAAGTATATAGTAATAACGTCGTGTACTTAATAATACTCATACATATGTCGTTATAAAATACACTGTGTTCCTATCATTTTGAACTGGTAAATGAGTTGCAGTTTCCATTTATTGATATTCATTTAGTACTCCAGGCCGAGGTTGTATAGGTATACATGATGTTGTTAATTGTGACGGACGTTAAAATGTGCTACGGAGTGTTTCAAGAAATGAATGGAGCATTAAAGTTCTTAGAGTCCGTCAGAATGTTGTTTAATATCTGCGTTTACTACGTAATTTCAACATTATGCTTCTGCATTTTTAACATGTTTTTCGTTGAATTTATGTAATGAAATTTTGTTACTCTTTCTTTTTATCTACGCAACCTCAGTCTGCGAGTACAAATCTCTGCTTTGATTTCGACAACACTTGGTTACAAAAATGGTTTACGATACAGGATTTAATTGCCATTATTGTTACTTACTAGTCTAATCGATTTTAAGTGGGTATATTTATTAAAATGACTGCTATTGATAACATTATTGAGAGGTCATTAGAGTAACATTACCTGTTCAATAATTATTTATCAGTAAACGTTATGAATTATATATACCTCAAAAATATTATTGATCTATTACTTTGATCGTAATGGAATTAAAATTCTATGCATTTATTAATTAATTAATAGTTTATTATTAAAAATGTATATAAAGTTCATAAAAAAACGCTTACATTTGGCAAATTAAAATATGAATTTGGTAATACTTATAATTCACAATTCAATATAAAATCTATGGTACAGCCGGCCAAGTAATTTGTGGTGCAAAGGAAGAAAACAAAGATTGATAGTTATGATCATAGTAAATGTAGGTTTCTAATGAATTTAAATCTCATGTGTCCATTGATAGGCTTTGTAACCAACTAATGTCTACTGTCTCTATTATGTATCAATCTTTATTCTCTTATCTGCATATCAAATAACGTGGCTGGTTGTACATTAAAATGTTTAATTAGCAAAATGACACGGACATTGACTTGACAAAGTATGAGGAAGAAACCGCCTCTTGAATTGTAGGTTTCGTGACATGACAAATATTGAAGACACGGAAACATTTTTCCCAACCGGCTCTAAAGAATTTGTTGCAATATTTCATTCGTTCGATTGTAAAACGTGGCTACAGTTTGACAGGCGGTTACTTCGTGTTATTTCGTTTGTGCGTGGGAATGCCATGATGGTTCTTAGTGTGAATGAGGTGAATACAAACATTCTGGCCAACAATGAATCAAGTTCATTCAGTATATTAATTCTCGGTTCGCAATTATTCGAGTAAAACGTTTATCTATAACCGTCTACCGCCTAACTACAATTTACATAATGCTTAAAAATTTTGACTATTCAGTCGGGTTCCTTAACTCTACGACGAATATTTAAATTTAATGGGTATACTAAACACACAACTTACACATTATGTGTCTTACAATTACAAATATCACTACCACGAGAATGTAACGTAAATGTATGTAGCTACTTATGATACTATAGTGTTGACGTGACTTATGTATGTTCGACTACATATTCATGAATGGGACTAGCAGGCTATATGAATAACACAACTAGAAAAAGAAATACGAGATCACAGAGCCTTTACAAACTGAGTTACTGTGTATTTCTTAATAAGTATGCCATCCTTTGTCAATAGTATTTACATAATTTATCCGTGCTTATAACGAAAAGTACACATACACAATTCAACATTTAGACAGTACATTTTGTGCTCAATTTATGTTAAGAGGAAACATATATACCTAATTATGAACGTATAATGTACATCCTTACACCTCACACATACATAGCTCGAGTCCTGAGCGACGGAAACATTACTATTTAAAAAGCAGTTGTATCACTTTCATTTCATATTAATTCAAAACTGGGTATTCGTATAATTAATTAAATTTGACTTTTATTATTATTGTATACATACGTTAGTGCTTACATATTTACAGTAACTGGATTGCAGTGATTTAATACACAAAAGCGTCTAAGGTTTATCTACCGGTTTATTTGCTTACTAAACTAAGTTCGACCTTACATTATATATGCTGTACAAGACGTATAGTAGGTTACATAGAAAAGGTAACTACGCAACTGAAAAATAGATGAAACGAATGAAGATGGGTAATATTTCGTAATTTAAAAGTTTGCGCCACGCTCGTAAACAAAACTGAGAGCACACTAGAGTAAGTCCGCGTGTGCAAAGAATTACAGCGCAGTCTTCGCACAATAGTCGTGTCTTGGATGAGTTCTGTTGTGAAGTTGTGAAGCTTCTCCACGTCCAACGCTACAGAATACACCGAATTTATTTGCTATTCTTAGATGTCTTTATTATTCTCTTACTCGTTGTGTTTTATTATCTCGTATCTACTAAAGTATTGTATATTTTACTGTTTAGAATCTTTTCATCTACACGCTTGACACTAGACTACTTCACATCAATCATGCGCGAGATAGGTATGGGTAAGACTAAGTAGGCATAGAACGTTGTCAGGTCTCGACGACGATTTTTGCGGTAAATGTCAACAATAATGCAAACATTGCGAAATAAATATCAAAATTCTACTTTTAGTCAAATACCCATGTCGTTGTCTCTCAATGTTGTGTCTTATCCTATTGCGATGGTAATTCCGAATAGATTATTAATATTCAATTGACGCACGTTTATTAAGACTTCTTGGTCCTAAGTCACTTTCCTCTACACTATCAACTGCGTCTTAATTACCACAAAACAATAAAACAAGCTGGATATTTTACAAAAATACAAAAACAATCGTTGGTAGGTTGATCCTCAAATGAGGAAAGCGTATTTTTAAAACCTATTGTTAATTACGTCCCTCTCAAAGTCTATAGAACGGTAAAGGCACGGTCATGATGTGTATTGCACTTATGGGATTACTTGTCCGTACAGACAGAGAGAAGAAATTTCTTCTAAATGGTTCAAAACACGCTCTAAACTACGAGTCAAGTCGAGGAAAGCGTTTCAAGGCACATACTTTTAGAAACAATAGGAGGGCGGTACAGATGGAAAACGTAGCTGTACCACCGTCAGGTAAGGTTACGTCAGATGAGTTGAAATCAGAGCGACCGCTAGAAGCGTAGCCTACGATAAGATTCAGTAATACACAATGAACCTCCTAGTACTAATCCCGAGCGCTCGGCTACCGATACAAAGTACACCGACAAGTACCATCATAGAAATTACCCTATAATGTCTTTACATTGTAACTATCGTGTTAATACATATAAATTGAAATCAAAGCTCTTAGAGTTCATCAAAAGTTTTACCTGCACATTATCACCATTTACACGAGTAGTCACGAACACTTTCCACTTACACAACCCGATTTATACGAAATGGAGCGACCGTTAGAAAATGTTCAGTTAGCTTATCATGAGTTAATGATCGCACACTCCACCGTTTGCAATAGTAGGAATATGATTCCCATTAGTCTTTTCGTGCAGCCGGCAGGAGTGGTGCGAAGACTCCTGTCAAAAAACGGGAGGCTGTTGTCTCGTGTCGCATGGGAGTGCGAGGCAGCCACCGCGGCAGAGGTGCGTCGCGGCGTGCAGGAAGGCGGGTGCCCGGGCCGGCGGGGGCGCGCGCGGCGGCAGCACCGGCGACAGCGAGCCCGCGCCGGACGGGCTGTCCCTGTCCGCGGCCGCGGACGGCGGGCGCTACACGTGCGTGCACGCGCCCGCCGCCACGGGTCACCCGCCGGCCAGCACGTCCTCCGGCTCCGGCGACCAGCAGTTGTCGGAGAGCCAGCACCCCACCACAACGGTCACGAAGCCGATCAGCAGCGCTAGTATTATGTATACCTCGGCGTTCCCTAGGCAACAAACATCAATTTAGTTTCGTAAATAAAACAACGAGTAACATAAAAACTTCGCAAAGTATTTGTTTATGAATCTAACCGAGCTGCTTGCGTATTCCTAGTGGTTGCCGGCTGCGCCAGAGTGAGTTGATGAGCGTGGGATCGCCCCGTGTGCGCCAGTCGCGGTACCCTCTGCCTCTGGAATATTGACTGAACCTGCGAAACATGAAACTCTCATTATTGCAATGTACAGTGCACATTGCATACTACCTACATATAGCTATAATGCCTAGATTAAAACATTACTTACATATAAAATGCTAAGTATGTCTACATTAATAAAATGTCACACCACTGTTCGTAATGAGACAGCAAAGCAGCCGAAGGTGCTTTGATCGCAAAATTGGCGTAAAGCCAAGCCTTCAATGCTGAAGCTTACTGCTCGTACAAATCTTTGATACTGACTGTAGCAAAAAAGCGAAATTGAATTGTTACCATTTTCCGTCCTTAGGATATTTACGTGGCGATTCGTGCAGATGCCTAGTGTAAATAAGTGGTTCATGCGAATGCAGTTGTAACTACCGTGATAAATAGGTATTATGAAACTATAGTTACTAAAGCGAATAAAATTTTGTATCAAAATCCAAAAGTCCAAGCTGATTATCATGGAAACGGGTATGGAACTGGTAGATGATGCAGTCGATTCTGAATTGCCGGAAAATATTTTGTTCATTCTTTCGGATGACAGATTAAAACAATTCAATTTCGCAGCATTTAGGATTCAGTGTTAAGTATTTGTTATTAGGAATTATCAGGAATAAATAATATTTTATTTTACAGGAAATAGTTGGTTTGGAATCTACTACATTCTCGTGGTTCTTAAGTTTTAGAATTTAATAAAATCACATTATCAACTAAATAGAATACCTACTTAATAGTAACCATAAGTCGCTATTCATCAGAAGGATTAGTTGACCAATCGTCCCTGCTTCAATCACCCTACAAACTACTTGTGAGTCAAACGTGCAAAATGTCAACCATGTAATGTTATCGTCATGCAGCGGAACTTCATCCATCGGACACAAGTGATGGCTTACAAAAATGATCACTGCCTTTGGCCCCTAATTTATTATAAAGAAAAATTTCTCAAAACACTCTAAATAACAAATGACTTACATTATCTCGTCGCACCGGTATTGTAGCGGATAATAAAATATGAAATACATAATTGTGTATGTCTCAAAACACATCAAATAAAAGAAATTATAATAATTATATCACAAGTGATTATTATCGAGTCATAAAACAATGCAAGGGTTCGAGAGTAATGTAGTGAGTGGGTTCATATGGGGACGTTGGATATACGAACGTGTGCCTCGCGTACGTGACCCGTTCACATCATGTCTCGACAACCTCATCGATTATCATCTATCTGCGAGCACATACTTTAGCTCAGTGCCACTTAAGGCTTCGGCGTCCTTGTTATCTACATATTTTTATCTTTCCACTTACTTATATTACAAGGTATTTACAATAAAGTTGATGTTAAGACACTCAGTGACAGAGAAAAAGGGGATAGAATCATAAAAGCACTTTTATGAGGTACCTACGGACCTATCGTAAACTACAATGTTCTTATATGATAGGTACCCTTTCACTGATGCCGCGGTGAAACGGTTAACCTCTAAGGTTCGATGAGAAAATATGAAAAGTCTTTGTAAAATATCTATTGAATATTATTCCACGAGACTGAGCTCACAGTCACAATCGTTTCACAAGACATTTTTGTGAGTAACATTAAATGCAATAATGAATAAATAAACAAACAGGATGAATGGGCCTTAGTCTCGCGGGTCCCACTGCCACCGTTTATTAAGTTTTTCTTTTAAATAACTAATTTAATTTTCAACCGTCTAAAATATGCAAAAGGGGGAAAATTTCCTTATTGTTGGGTTGCTCTTCTATTTCGTCTGTTCAAAGATTTGAATACGACTCTCCGACTCCGATTCTGGGGTCGAATTTAAGAGTAGTTTGATGAATGCCCTACAATTTTTCTACTTTGTTTAGAAGATTATGAAACACGATTGTGTTCTAGATAAGTACTGGGAACAGAATACTCGGGCGCACCTGCTGTACACATAACCTTTAGCCTTATTTTCGTGAAAACGTAAAGTTGTTTTAATAAAAAGTCCAATATTCCTACCTATGAATACATCTTATCTATACTTACTTACTATGTTACTTGAGAAGTTGGTCTCATAAATAGAGCTTAGTGTAGTGGCATCAGTTGTGTAGATTCATGTTGCGGGCTTATTTTATAGTATCCCCTGAGAGCCTTTAAGCTATCGAATGCAGACCCTGTCACTAGTTTTAAGTTATTGGTGCATCGGTCTCAACTTCTTGCTTACCTACTTACTTACCTAACTGTAGTTGGACTACTTACTTTATAAATATTTCAGTATAAACGCTGCCACGTCGGTCTAGTCTAACTGAACTCAGCACGAACTTCGAGTTTGACCACGGGACAAGAAAAATACAGAGCTGTTCGACTTTCAAATTTTGTATCTCACAATTCGTCTTTTTACTTTCCTGATAATATGAACTTATTGGATTTATAAACCGCAAAAAATTGGTTTTACTCAAGATGTGTACTTTAGCGTGTTTTTTTTTTTTTATAAAATAACGCGTATTTTTTATTAACTTGTAATTTTAGAGGTTTCCATCAATAACGCGGTTTGTTTATATATGTAAGTGTAAATAATCTAAATAATGTATGTCTAGTCATTGCACAAATTATACATTTCCAACCCTTCGCTAAAATGTAAAGCGTACGTCAGAATAGACTCGCTCTGCATGAAGACTAGACAAGTTAAGTTCGTTAAGTATTCATGCATGCTCTTGATGTATTTAATTTCATTAAGCATCATAAGTTGTAGTATGAAGTAGTGAGTTCGTGAATTAATTAGTTCGTGCAATAATGTTTTTGTATAGACGCTGTTAATGTGGCGCCGCTCATTAAGATTATCTTGCGCGCAATTCATTGAGGGATTACTCTGTTTCATTGGAATTGCAGTTTTGATTGCTGTAATTATTTTGGAATTAATCTGGAAGATTAACGGTGTAATTATGTTTTATTGGCCAGTTTTAGAGCTCTCTGTTTAGTCGTTAAAATTATGGTTGTAATTTTTTTATGTTACTTTGTTTGTTACAAATTGATTACAAAAATTTAGCATTTTGCTTTACAATCGGAGTAACGGATTTTTTATTTATTCAAGACTATATAAATGAGTTAATAGTATTTCTTTCTCTTTAGCGAAATAGAACAGAGCTAGGGTTGGCGCTAACTCTGAGCGAAATTGCCATCCGCTGTCTATCACTCATTAGCACATTCTCACATTCTTGGAAGGAGTTTCAAGATGCTTATTTATAAACCTATTCTAGTGTAATTCAACGTTAAATTAACGTGAACTAACGTCAAACATAATTGAAGATTTACATTGTTTGTGAATTAACGTTATTAGTTATTACCCACCTACTGAGTTTGCTGACAAATGAGAACTAATGTGCACAATTCACACAGGTGTCAACTGCCCACTCAGTTATTTACGATACACTGTATGAATGAATTAAAATTATTGACTGTGTGGGTAGTTCATTGATGTACAGTCGCCTAAGTCATTTGGTATGCAGGTAAGAAAATAAAGACAGCACATGTTGCTTAGTTACAGAGCCGGGCAATGCTATGGTTTTGTTAAAAATGTACAATTTGATATAACTACTGCTACTGTCGTACTGAATCAAAGTTTATATTCGTACTTGATAATTTGGCTGACCGCGCATACATACCAATATTAAGAGACACCTTTATCAATACTAAGAGAGATACGATAAGAGATTAAGGTAACCACAGGTGACTGATAGTAATCGCTACTCGATATTTCGTTGGCAACAATATTTTCGATATATCCGATAATAATTTGTCTGTGTATGTCATCTAGAGGTAGTATGTTAACTTATGAGCATTTTCAATAATCGTCCAGTGAATTCTAGTACTAAACTAGATTTCAAACTGGGGTCGAGATAAGTATCATTATGATTTTTAAAATCATCGATCTAATTGAGCTTTGTGCACGATGTAAGAAATTAGATCGAACAATGACAATTACACCAATAACAAACGGTAAGTACTCCTATCCCTTTACTGAACAAAAACAGTGGTATTCTGTTATATATCTGCGAGACTAGAATTTCGACAGCTCGTCTGTCGTCTGCGGTTTCCCCAACTTGGCCGTGCACTATGTGATTGTGTTTTATTACCGAGCCAAATTGCCTAATCGATTAACAGAAAGGGTATTACAATGGAGTAATAAATAGTTAGACTCGTTTTAGTACGCGCAGCGTCATTAGTTTGTGGTTTTACCAATATAAAATGGTAAATTCTGGAAGTATCTCGAATAAATCGTAGATATTTCATTCATATTCACCTGCTACGTCTTATATATTGGACGCAAAGTACCTTATGATATAATGGTGTTACATCTAAACTGAACTCAATTTTGCAGTTAAAAAATATGTGCTCAGGTTGTTACATGTGTGACGAATAGCGTTTGAGTAGGTTTGGGAAGTCTAATATATACATACTTATATAATAGGTACCTATTTTACAGCAACTCGTTACCCAAACTGATTTCAATTATACTGAACTTTGTACCGGCCTCCTCCATGACAAATGAAGGTCGTAATTGCTTTTCCAGGTATAACTATGCCATAAACCTACTTGGGATATGAAAGTTGGGTTAAATGACAATAGCTCAACGGCAGAGGCGTCGAACTGACGAACTACGTCGCGTCGTGAGTTCGTAGCCCCTGCTAACATATTACACTAGAATCACCCTTAGATTTAAGTTTAGTTTAGTTGTTTAATTTATATTGAGTTTTAGTATAGGACTTAGTACTTGGGTTACATACTATACAGATGGCAGACTTCCCGTATACACACACATATGAAGCTTGTTCATTTACAAGTTTGAATTGAATGATGTGTTTCTAATGGCAGTATTACTCATACTTAAGAGCGAATATGTAGGAACTGATCACATTATGTGTATTCAGCGAGCGTTTCTGTAATATCAATATTGGCGCACATCTTTGAGGATACGAAATCGCGTACCATAAGTTAGAACGCGAATGTAGAAATTATTAGGAGATTTGCTACAGTAAGTTTTATACTTTGTTGTTGTATTTGTATACGATTGATTATTATCTGAGTATCATTAGAAAGTTTACGAATCTGTGTAATATGTAACCTTAGCTTATATTAAGATTAAAAAAAGGGAAATAAAAATGTGATAACTGATTGATATCGTACCTTCGTACGCCACCGACTCCTGCCGGAGGCGCGGTGGAGTGCGGCACCCCGGGCGGCACTTGCGCGCCTCCTTGTACGCCGCCCTGCACACTCCCTTGCGGAGCGCACACACAACACCCTGTGCACACAATGTCACACTTAAACCGTAAACATAGACATATTTATTCTGCAAATATTCATACATACATATTGTTATAAGGTTGCGCTTTCGTTTTAATAGCACATGGCAGAATTTACAGACTGCCATCTACATATTAGGTATATTATCTTTATACTTCTTTTGCTTCCACACTATTCATACAAGTATGACTATTATGGAATGTTCCATATCTAGTTTTTTGTCAGGATATTTCCAAGTTATGTTAACTTAATGTGGTCCGGTGTTGCCATTTACATTCGGAATTACGAGATATGCCATATAATTTGTAATATTAAATACATCATTAGCTCAACCATATTTAACCACAAGTTTGTACCTAACAGCAAAAAACAACAATTACGAAACGCAGACTTAATAATAAAACAAAGCTGAATTCCGACGCTCTTTTTGTTCTTAATATCTTCATATTTTATGGTCAGTAAAACTGATACATTTTGTTTTGTAGAAATGCAGTAAATAATAATAATAATAATAATATCCATCCGGCATATAATTTCGGGTTGTTCTCACTTAGCTAATGGAGAATACTTGCATAGACATAATCTTGTAGCCAGGATTATTCATCAACAACTTGCTTTGAAATATAAACTTGTAGAATCTGAAGTGCCGTATTATAAGTATCTGCCTGACCCAGTTCTTGAAAATGGAGATGTCACACTGTATTGGGATCGAACTATCATCACAGACAGGACAATTGTTGCAAACAAACCTGACATTGTGGTGATAGATCGACCAAGCCGTCGCACAATGATAGTTGATATAACAATCCCACATGACGAGAATCTAGTGAAAGCTGAAAAAGATAAAGCAAGTAAATATCTTGATTTAGCTCATGAGATTGTCGACATGTGGGATGTGGATTCAGCAGTCATTGTGCCGATAGTCGTATCTGCCAATGGCCTCATTGCTAAAAGCCTCGACCAACATCTGAGTAGGCTAGCGTTAGATGGTTGGGTCAAGGGCCTGATGCAGAAAGCAGTACTTCTGGACACGGCGCGTATTGTTCGGAAATTTCTTTCTCTGGAGCCCTGACCACCGGTAGCTTGGATTTCTCCCGTTACCGGTGGGCTACTGCTTTTTATATTTTTAAATGTTTTTTTTTTTTATATATAATGAAATATTTAAAAATATTTAAATCAAGTATGAAAATAAATAAAGGGAATAATAATAATAATAATAAATTCTTTATTTCGGATTGATTGTACACTCCATATCTTATACTACTAGGAACAAAAAAAAACAGCACATACTAATATTATCTAGAAAAAGTAAGACAGAAACAAACGAGAAAAAAAAAACAATTTATCATAAACTAAAACATAATAATAACCTTAATAACCTGAACAGCATTACGCTGCAATTTGCATCCATTTTTTATATACAGACGTGGCATACAATCGGTTGTATAACTCCTTGATGATACTGTTTGTGCAAGTGCCAACTCTAGACAAGAATCCAGCGATTCGCTTTCTCTGTATAGCATTAAACGTGTCCAGCCTCGCTTCTGTGAACATACCCGACGCACTACAGTGCGGGGCTAGACCCATTAGCTGTCTGAAGATGTTATTGTACTGGACACGAATACCATCCAGAGACCTCCTCGTGTAACGAGTCCAAAGTTGGCACGTGTAGAAACTTTGACAGTACGTTCTAAATAGGTGAACTTTCGTCTGGGCATTGGCTTTAAAGAATCTCCTAGCTATCATATTGCCAACGACTGACAATGCCCTGCGTTGTCTGTCTATGTCAGCGTCGTCCTTCATATCTGACGTCAGCATGTGACCAAGGTACCTGAAACTTTCTACTATTCTAACAATCTGACCTCCTAGCCAAACTGGTGGGACATTACGTGGACCTCTTCCTGATCTGAATATAAGCATTTCAGTCTTCTTCGCGTTATATACTAGATTATGTTCTCGCGCATATTTCTCACAAATCGCCAATAGTCTTCTTATACCCTTGATTGAGGGAGGTTGATTAAAGAACGAACGGAAACACAAAAGAGAATGAACTAATAAACATAATAATAGACTTGATAATGAAACATTACATTATTGACTAACAAAACGAATGACCTAATAGCAATGTGGAAATATTTATTAAAATAACAAAAATTAAAACATGTTTGTGTATAAACCACAAAATTGTCACCTTCAAAAAAATATTAAATCGTGGAAACACGTCTGTATTTAATGCCCTGCATGCCAATGTTTAATGGTCAAAAAATCCGCTAATAGCTTTGAATTACACACGTTTTATGAAAAGCCTTTGGTAAAAAATAAATCCAATTTGACAAGCGGCATCCGCATTGTAAACACAAATAGTATTAAACAAACAAGTCGGTTTAAGAGGAACTGTATACGTATGTACAAATATACACAGTGAAATACAACAACGATGGAGTTGAAATAAAGTATATCTTTTCATTTTTGTTAATATCTACCTTTTTTATTTTCATAAACGACTATAAATCGTAGTTAGACAAATCCAAAAAAAATGTAGTGACGCTATAATGGCGAGCGCAGTAAAAACTTGATACTTGTTTTCTTGCCAACATTCATTAAACTGTCACAAGATAAATATTTTATGTTAGACCGCGGCTCTTTGGAAACTTGGCTTAATTAATATCTGCAAAACAAAGTCCTTTTTGCGATGGATTGCATTAAAATTCCAAAAAAAAATATTATTAGTATAGATCGATATAATACGTCAAAGGCCTCTAAAACTTTTTTGTTCGTAAAGTCGGCAACAGTTGCCTTTCTTGACAGCCAACAAAGTTACTGCGTTGAACTTATGGCTGAGAACAATCATCAATCATGGATTACACCACTTTATGACGGCGATGCGATATTGTCACAGTCTTGCCAAATAACACCGTTGTACTAACACTTTAAAACTGTTATTTATGAAACGTATCTAAAAGTTTTATGAAGGCAACTGAACATAACAGGAAACTTGAGCACATTACGGCGGTTGTCAATCCGAGTTTGGTGAATTATCGAGCGGAACCAATTTGTTCGCGCAATCTTTATAAGGCCGGCCAAAACATTTCATGTACACGTACTTATGTAAGTACGTACACTCGCACAGTTATGTTCACAATTTTCTTCATAAAATAAGCCAATGCTTTTAGTCTTAATACTACAAGGAGTTGTTTTATTTGATTATGCTCCAGAGTTAAAAGTTTCCCGCAGAAAACAATGTTAAGTAAGAAGTCCGAGCATTGTTTTGTGTTGAAGTAAATTGGTCGTTTGTACCGATAAGTACATTATGTAGATCTGTTTCTTCATTGAGTTGTCGAGTTCTCGCCATTTCAACTCCGTGCGATTAGTATCATGTCTATTATAAATTAACGTTACGAGCAGTAAAATTACAATAATGTACGTATGTTCCTCGTTACACTGGTTGGCCATTCGCTTCCGACCACTAAGTAGGCATCAATTTAATTTTACAACGTGGATAAATAGAGCCGTGCACGTTTTATGTGCATGCACGTAAAGCTTGTTCAGTTCTACTGAACCGTGTAACAAGTAGTAACAAGTAAAGGTATTTTAAAACTAAACGTACTCTATTACAAAGTATAAAGAAATATTTATGGCGCAACTAAGAACAACAATGCCTGGCATTGTTTTAAACTAAGCGCTTAAGCACTATATAGTTCTATCCGAGCCGTATTACAGTAGCCGCCGTAAAGCTATGTGGTATCCTATTATTAAATGCGATTTATGTTGATTATCCACTCTCGCATATAACTGTATTACGTTGAAGGTAATCTTGTCCCGATTCTTGTGTGAGATGTCAGCCGCAGAGAGTTACTGGCACGAATATAATGACTTAGCACCAAATATAAATTATCGACTTATCTAATACATTGTTAACGTTATATAAATTTCCATGCTGATGAATTCCCTTGTTATTTAATTCTTGTAAGTTAATAAAGGTAATATTTGTTTTAAGTAGACACATAATTTCGATATCAGTAATTTTTCACATAATCGCGAGTTTTACAAAACATAAAATTTAGGTATGTAAAAGAAAAATGTAAAGAAAATCGCAAGATAACAGAACATGGAGACATCATATTGACTCGTCACGGAGAAAGTCGGCCCATTCTATATGTTTATTCATTTAGATTTTCTCTCAATTTTGAATAAAACGCCGTGAACGCGCGGCTCGGTGACAAACGACAAACATGCGTATAACCGTAACATTTGAGGAGTAAAAATCAGTGAGGCCCTTTTATTATACCGACGCAAGTATTCAGTGAAATAAAAAATATTTCTCGTAAACATCGAAGACAAATAATGGCTGAGCACAAACACCGATAGAATAGAACCAGACACGTTTGTAGATCAACTTCGTATAAATAGTTCACATAAAAGGAAATGTACTTTTATAGCATGATATTATTATTGACATACATTTATTGTACAACAGTGCGCTTAAATGTTTACGACGCCTTAAAAGCTGGTGGCCATAGGAAAGCGTTTAATGATACTCGTTATGACGCCAGAAGTCAATCGACAGTCAGCAGTTTTTGGAAGTTATCTCACTAATAAACGTTACGTTTGTGATCGCTAATTGCAGGTTAGTTAATACAAATTCGCAGGAATTAAATTCGTAAACACTGTCTGAAATGTAATAAAAAGTCAGACGGTCTTGGTACAATATATGTATGTAACCTCACTGGTGCGTTCACGTCTGGCAGATTCATATATCAATAATTCTGATGTACAAAACGTTGCAGTGACGAACGTGGTACAGATGACGCATTTCGTAGTCGATGCACGCGTAGCAGCTACGAGTTGCGTGGCAATGACGCGCCTGTAGCAGCTACGTCGTAGCAATGACGCGACTATAGCAGCTACGTCGTAGCAATGACGTGATCCCCAGTAAGTATTTTGTGAAAAATACATAAATGGAACATCATTGTAGCTCATAATGAGTGTCGTATAATAAACTGGTTTTACTGTCAGCGAAATTGCTAGTTCATCCAACCATATCACATATACTTGTAAAATTAACAACACGTTGTTAACGCTAAAATGAATGGTAATACATTTCCATATTCATAAAACACAATCATAATAACTAATATTCATAGTGCATTCAGTTTTATTATGAGCATGGGCGTGTGAAACGAGAAAGGGAATTACATTAGAGAACGGGCTGAATCTTCCAGCTCTGTGGAGGTATTAATATGTTCATACTAGTACTAGGAACAACGTACTGCTTTTATTGTTATGTTATGCAAGTTGATTATTAAATAACGCTTAAATTATAATAATAAAAATGATTTATCATTACAAATGTACCATTAAATACCGAGTAAATATTAGAACTGTTTCGTTTGAAAAGTCAAGTAACAGTCTTCATTCATGCTATCGCCATCGTTGATGACATCACGCCTTTTCATTTATGAAGGGGCAGGCAAAGATGTATCATTAAATTGTTATGAGTACTATATGGACTATTCAACTCGGGAATCAAATCTGAAACTAGGAGCTCATCAGTTGCAACAATGCAGTCAGTAAAAAGACAAAATATATCACCATTGAAACTATAACATCCGCTTTGTTTCCAAGAACAGACAGAAATACGAAGCTGCAGTTAAACTGTGACTACGATAAAGCATGTCATACGAGGTGTCCCATGAGTTACTTTTACGTCGCCCGCAGGAAAAGATGGCTAACATATTCTGATCCCGGATACCGCAGTATCATTGTAATTCATTGCATTGTTTCTATCACTATAATACCAGTGTACTGAATACGATGAGAGATACCAAACCGCTATTATACGGTCTCTAGAATTGACTGATTTACGGCGACCACAGTTTACCTCCCCGTGGCGTAATGGATAGATTACGTGATGCCGACCTATACACGTCAGAATTACTCCGCTGCCGCGCCAGATAAGTGCGTGGCGGGATGAGCTCCGGCGCGATCTCATGGCGGAATGGCAGCAACGACTGTCGCAACCGAGGGCTGGGCTCGCTGCCATCGCAGCGGTAAGTCCCCTCTTTGAGGAGTGGCTTGAGAGACGCTACGGCGTCCTCACCTACCGCCTGACGCAGGTCCTCACCGGACATGGCAGTTTCGGGAGGTACCTGTGTCTGATGGGGCGGGAGGAAACGCCCGGGTGTCATCACTGCGAGGACCGCCCTGAGGACACGGTGGAACACACGGTGGGAGAATGCCCTTCGTGGGCTGAGCACCGCCGTGTCCTCAGGGAAGTGATCGGCGATGGCGACCTCTCGCGTCCGGGCCTAGTGCAGGCCATGATGCGGAGCGAGGGGGATTGGGATGCCGTCTCCTCCTTTTGTGAAGCAGTCATGCTAGCTAAGGAGGAGGCGGGACGCGTGAGGCAGCGAAGCGCTGCCTCCTCGCAACCCAGCCATCGCGAAGGACACACCGGGCGTCGGGGATCGCGGGACGATCTCCGGCCACCGTAAGCGCGGGCCTGCGGACGGCGAGCATGGGTGGCTCCCCGTCCGACCAGAAACAGACCCGAGCGTACGGCGCGTCGCGTTCCGCGCGCGCCTCAAAGAGCCATCAGACCACCACAGATGGGGCCCAATAGGGCCGATGCCGATTCGGAGTCGCGGAGAACCTAACGGGTAACCGGGGCTCCGGCTCGACGTGCAGGAGAAGGAACGGGGTGGTTTTTAGTCAGTAAGAGTCTGACACTCCCTCCGGCCTCACCCAGGCGGGGGCAGTCATTCGATGATTTTCCCCCCTTAAAAAAAAAAAAAAAAAAAAAAAAAAAATACACGTCAGAATTATGATTATCAGCTCAATTTCCCAGCAACATAGGTGTGTTATATGCACCGTTGTATACGATACGTGACAGTCTTCGTCTATAAGCGAGTCCATAACACAATTTAATACATAGATAACACAAATTCATTAGCTTTGTCGTCCCCGCTTTAAGAGCCATTTAGCTAGCTAAAGTATAATAATTTTACTAAAATATTGCATTCGATGGCACTAGATATGAACGGTGAAGTACAGCAAATATTGGCGCTTTAGCGTCGAGAATATTTATCTACTATCAAAAGAGCTATGTTTTTATTTTGCTAGATCTATTAATGGGTTGAATGTTTACAGAATGTAACCCTAATTGACTTTCATAAATTGATAAAGCTATTAGTTATTGAAAATTTGTTCCTATTAAAATGGTGAAGCGATAAAAGATATTATTAAAGTTAGAACCTCCATGGAGTACAATAAGCAGGCGGGACATGACGACGGGAACAAGGAAGCTAGAATGCGCGATGACAGTGCTTTTCAAGATGCGCTATTGCACTACATTCGCTCCATTGTTTTCGTTCAAAAGCAATTCAATAGACGTCGTTTATCGCTCTGGCACAAATATACCTCTTATGTTTCTATTTGCTCATAGAGAGAGGGCGAGAACGACTCTTGAATTATTCATTTGAGTTATTCGTTGGCAGAGGTGAGCAGCAAATCATAATCCTCATAATCTGAGGCTGCTGCTGTGTGAAGGTTTAGTGACACAAATTATGAGCGAACAAAACAAAGCTGAGGCGTGTTTCCGTAATATGTTACAATGTAGCGATTTAATTTGTTATTTTCGCGGCAGACGGATTTATGTGTGTGGTGGTGTATACAAAATGGACGAGAAAAATATGTCGATACAGTCACCATGCTTGTTTTATACGTGTATGCATCGGCCATACAAAGCCGGGAATGTTTAAGGTTTTTTTAGAGGTCGTTTCAAAGGGACTTGTTTTGACCTTTCGAAATGGCTGGAGGCGACAGACCGACGGACGACTAAGTTTTATAGTGAATGTAGTACAATTTATTATAAAGTTATGTGTGACCTCAGACGACTGTCGCTTCGTGTTTAGGAATGCGGGCATTATCACACGGTGCGAGTACGATGTGATATAATTATGTTGGATGCAAACCGTGGAATTTGGTTAGTTCTGCCAAGTAATAATAACATTTTGACTGCATTTAACTTATATTTGTAAATTACAAAACATCTGTCTATCAAATAACACGTTTTCCGTAATTTGTATGATAAAAAATATAGTGGAAGGAGTTTCTGTTGAAAACTAAAACAAACATAAATAAGAGTATAACTAATTTAAATGCAAACTATACATTTTCTTCTCTAAAACCGCATATAAAACGTAATCCAATAAGTCCAGTAGCCCCAAGAACAATAAACATTCGTTCGTTACACACCATTGCAGTTCCCGTTGATTTAAAATAGAACAAACATGCGTCGTTTGAATTGCCAGGCAAACAATGTATCTAACAATTATAGCCTTAATAGCCGTATTTGTTTGACGCGCTTGGCTACATTTTAAACTGAGCTTCCATTGATAAACTATTCCAACGTACTCCTAGTTGTTTATTGGCGATCTGTTACTCTGTGCGGGAATGTTTTCTTAGTGTGTACGTGTTTGCAAACTACACTTTCTCAGAATATATTAACCACTTCATTGAACATAAGTCATGCAGCCCTTCCTCATCTTCAGGCACACAAATATCACAGACGAATATAAATAAACGCATAAATATGAAATGAATAGACAAGTGACCGAGCATTGCATACATCTAAATAAGGACTTAGGATCCATTTTACCACAAATGAAACCCATAGTAGATATAAGCAATTTCTCCATATCCGAAAGATGCGAATGTATTCCTTTCACGGATTAGTCTCGTAGAATTCGGTTTGTAAGCTGTAACAGAGCCAAATGTCTGACTATTACAATATTTTGTCGAAGAAGTTGCGCCACACTGTATGGCGTATAAGAAGGCATCGAATTTTGTTCGCAAAAATTGCGAAGATCCTTTTTGTGAGGATTAGGTTTAAGGACATAAAGGTGTACATTACCGGCGAGTGCTGCGATAGCTGCCAGCGTAAGGAGGGCGGAGCGGCTGCGTGCCATGTCAGCAGGGCATGCCGCGCGCTGCGCGCCGCGTCATCGCCGCGACATGGTCCGCGACGCGCCCTCCACAACCACTCGCCTGTAGCACCTCTCTGTACACTGCAACAAAACAATATACCATCTTTTATTGTCTTCACATACAACAATACCTCGTGATAGTCACAAATAAAAAATACTTTAAAATTAGCTCTTAGATAGTCAAGAGAACAACGATTCTATTATACGTTCACAAACTGACAGATTTATAATGAGCCTCTAAAACGCCTGTTCCCTCTCTGAAGACAAAGTTCTCAGCACAACAGGTGGTCCATATTTAATGCTTACTGCTTTGGCTACAATTAATTTGTCAAGGTTGGCCAGCGAGTTCATTTGGAATACGAAATAGTGGATTGCCAACTGTGAGCACCGCCACGCGGCTTTTATCTGCGTATCGACGGCGGGCGGCGGGCGGCGAGCGGCCGGCAGCCGGGACGCCAGTCGGCGGCCCTGACAAGGGTCATGCTTGCCAAAACATCCGTCCGAATGATATCCGGGGAATTTCTCTATTGCAGATTTATTTGCTTCGCTAACAGAGCTTTATTTTGTGATGATGCGGAAACGTCAAGCTTTTATATGTAAATACGTAATACTTATCGCATACATTTCCTTATTTTTCAGATGACAGATATTGCCGCTCTCTTAGATGGGTTAAAAGATTAGCCCTAATAAAAAACAAACATAATGTGTCGGATTACTCTTCAAGATTGCGATAACACAAGGAAAACTTAGTGAAGAATTTTGAGTAGAATCTACAATATTGAGCAGATTATATTGCTTATGTTTAGGGTGTAAATAAGTTTATACAACTATAAACATCTTAAATGTAATTATTACACGTGACAAGTTTCTAATACTCAATTCACAAGGCATTACGAAGTATATTGGTAAAGTTTATGAGAGTCATATTTTACAAACTTGATGGAGTATTTTTATGTATAAGTCAGATAATGTCCCCGTCGCCGTCGTCCCTACTGTACATGGAGCTGGGAACTTTTATAAATAACGCGGATGGTGTCGATAAGTTTAACTGCCGGCTATTTACAGCAGTGATTCTTAACTAGAAGTTCCTTTTTACCTTGGAAGCAGAAAACGAGGTTACTTGAGCCTTTAAGATTATAAATATTTCACACTTTACACAACACTCCAAAAATAACACATACACATGATTCTACAACTCATTTTTTATTATTTTACCGCCTAAAAGCACAGCGCTGGATTAATCAAGGCTTACCGTACGAGACTGGCAACAAAAGGCAAAAAAGATGTGAATTATGCTTTTAAACAGAGCGCGCAATATTTTAACGAAATACGGCGAAACGTCAAGAGGACGCGAAGATATTCTTAATAATGTGTTTTTACGTAAATGCTGTATAACTTTTCCGGTGGAAAAGAGAATATGATGGCACAATAAAATAGGCGACACTGTGATGAATGAGGAGAACACGCTCGCGAAACAACAATAGACGTCACGTACTTACGAACTCATAACCATCGATTCCAATTTATGGCAGACGTATTATTCCTTGGGGGTGAAAAACACATCCATGTGTTATGCATCGGTATTGGGAACAGATCATATTGGCTTCAAATCTATGTTGAGGTCGTGAAATGGAATATGATAGGTAACACGTAATTGACTTGCTCAATTAGGGTAATTAACATTTGGTTTCGAAAATTGATTTAGTTACGGGAATGCGATTATAGGGTACCGTTTTATGTCAACGATTGCTACGATATTCTTATGTGGAACTGCCGTTCATTAAGTCTTTAGTCGGTGTTTTTATTTACATCCATTTGTATGGACAACTAAAAGAAAAATCTGGTGATTTCGGTCGAATAGGTTTGCGATTGATGCATGCATTACCTGGTAAATCGCTACATAGTATAAAACAAAGTCGCTATCCGCCGTCTGTCTGTCCCTATGTATGCTTAGATGTTTAGAACTACGCAACGAATTTTGATGCGGTCTTTTTTATTAGATAGTGTGATTCTTAAGGAAGGTTTATATAATACATACATATTGTACCCGTGCGAAGCTGGGGCGGGTCGCTAGTGTAATATACGGTTTTAGATGAAGTTTCTGAATTAATATTACTACGCCATTTTCGCGTTTTAAACTATCAGTGTGATACGGGTTCTTTACTTAGATCCGCAGCCAAACTTTATTGCTTCGGACTATCCATAATGTTGGCCTCAGTGTGATAACTAGGATCGATGAGACGTTTATGTGTCGACAACGAGAATTTCTTTACCGAAAATTTTCACAGATTTTTTCCGGAATATAAATCTGTTAAAGTAAAGGTCTAACAATCTCGGTTTAGAATCCCAGGTCAATGTACTGTTCTCCAATGAGTATTGTTCTTATAATGGAAGAAGAGTCTAATAGGTTCATCCATTAAAGTACACACTTTTAAAGAATATTAATCATGGCTTTGTTTTCATAGTAAAGTAAGTATTGAAAACTTGTAGCCAATTACATTAAATTAGTCAAGCAATGTGCTATGTTACAAAAATATTAACATTTGATTTGAACAAATAATAAGATTACAAAAGGTATAAGTTTTAGTACGTCTATAACACAATTCTCTTAATAAATTAGATTAACGAAAAGCAAGTAATAGAGAACATTAAGACCCTTATAATTGTATGAAAGTGTGAATGAGAAAATTCTTTCTTTTAGCGCCATAGCAGAGATACAATGGTTCTGATTGAGTTGGATAAATTCGTGAGAAAATTTGATTTCGTTCCGAACCGCTGTTCTAGAGTAAATTAAATCTCCTTCCATTTATAAAATCTAGATATCTAAGCAATTCCAAGATTAATGGAATTAGAAAAGATCGGATGTATTAAAACGTTACATTCAAAGTAAAATTTGGATAACATTAATCAAGTAATAGACTAGACAAGGACTGTAATGATGGCAATAATAATTATTATGTAATTCACCATCGATCATGCTTTGTGCTACTATTTCATAGATTGTTTTATTTATTTCTTATTTCAAAAGGAGTTCGAAATAGCTGAAGGAGCTAAAGTAATAAATGTAGTATAAACAGCACTTTCGCTTGAATTATTATGCTTCACATTGCGAGTAAAGTCTTGTATATCAGTGTATATCCTTAATAATTTTTGGTTCACAGGTATTTCTTGAACTTTTTCAAATAAAAGTAAGTTAATAAGTAACGACAAGTATGTTAGGTGTCTTTTAGATATGAGATCTGATTTTGTTAACAAATGTTAGAAAATATTATGGTGTTTCCGCAAAAATGTTCGAATCTTTTAGGATTATGTGTTGTTGCAATCCAAAATAATGTACATTTTATTATTGCAAAGTCTATATAATTTTGTTAACTAACTAATAAAGGTGATTGCTGTTTTTAGTGCCCGCTGTATATTTCCTTATTATAATCCCGTAAGCGTTATCCATAACGATGCGGAAACTATTTCTATGGTTTATAGCCCATATTCGAGTTATATAGGGTGTTGTTAACTTGAAACAGGATGTTTGATATTTCCGTATCTCACTCAACTCCTTTCAAAGCATGTTTTAAGCTCATTGATGTTTTAATGACAAAAAAGGAATTTTGGTCGGTAATGTACACAAGGATAAGTCAAAAGTACATGACTTGTGTTTGCTAAACAAAGCTTAAAGTAATTACATTTTCTTTCATCGTTTCTAAGAAATACTTCATAATGTAGAGGTACAATATGTTGTTGTATTGTTTAATATACGATGTATTTCTTAGTGAGTTCACCTCCACGCATATTGAACACAAGAAATCGAAATACATGGAATTCCGTGTACGTATTTTATTAAACACTTTGTTTATTAATTTAATAATTCATTGATTTTGTAACATGAACTCTGAAAACATGTTTTATCATCGTGACGTACACAAAGCACCGCTAATTGGTTCGAGGCGCTACACATCGACATTACTATCATTTACACAGTGAACATGTGTGGGTAATTTCATATTAATAGATATGTATAGAAACATTCGTTCTATCACACACATCTTGGTATTACATATCATTTTTGTGTCGGTATACGTAATATTTTAGTAAATAAGTTTAAATAAAAACGAGGGTAAAGATAAAAATACTCATAACAAACTTTGAATAAATCGAAATCAAAAATAATGAACGATCGAGCAATACAATACTTATATAAATATAGTGCATTCTCATTGTATTTTTATGTTACTGAATGATATACAATATTTCGATGTTCTCATCTACGGCGCGCTTGGCGCAATGGTTATCGCCTCCAGTGGTCAAGTAAAGTGCCACCGGATCGATTCCAGCATTCACATGTTGTTTTAGTATTAATTAATCAAATATTTGAAATGTGAAATTAGAAACAATTAAATCTTTTCTTTTTTTCCTATCCTATTTTTCTAAATCTTATGTTAATTTTAATAGTAAATACTTTAGATTTATTTATACCTATAATATCCTTTATTTATATTTTAGTTCTAGTTATTTATTATTTAGAATAATTTAGAATGATTGGAAGAACTTTAAAGTTAACATGTGGTATATAATTAATTATTAGATATAAATATTGAATATAAAACCACATATTTGTATAATTAATAAATTAATTTTAATAAAAAATAGTATTGTTTTATTTACCGACTGATTTGCTTCTTTTATAGCCTGATATTTATATTATATGACAAAAAACAAAAAAAAAATAAATAAGAAAAACAACAAGGTAAAATAAAAAAAAACTTTTAGCTGGAATAGAACCCACATCATCATTGATCCTTGAAAGACGATAAAAGCGTACTCATTAACCAATCGACCACGAGCACTACGATAATTACAGTGAAAATGTCGGGTCATATCAATGATTGTAAATAGTTTTAACCTTACCCATGCATTAAATTATAAAAATACGTATACCGACACAAGAATGAAAATACCAATGTGAACGTGGTGGACGAATATTTTTATACACAGTAATATGAAATTACCCACACATGTACATTGTGTAAATGACAGTAGTGTCGATGTGAGCGTTACGAACTAATTAGCGGTGCTTTGTGTACATTGTCAGTAAACAAATATCAAACACTTTCTTTTTTTAGTGAGGAAAATCATCGAATTACTTCTCCCACCTGGGTGAGGCGGGAGGGAGTGTCAGACTATTACTGACTAAAACCCACCCCGTTCCTACTCCTGCCTTTCGAGCCGGAGCCCCGGTAACCCGTTAGGTTCTCCGCGGCTCCGTATCGGTATTAGCCCTATTGGGCCCCATCCGTGGTGGTCTGATGGCTCTTTGAGGCGCGCGCGGAACGCGACGCGCTGCACGCTCGGGAAATGTTAACGCTTGAGGTTAAAGTCAAAGTTTTTATGACATTGGTCGAAGGCACAAAAGGACTTAATCATATATTTCTGATTTAGCATAAATAAACCCAAAAATATATAAGTTTAGAGTCCATAACTACAAAAGAAATTAAGAAAATATTGTTTCGAATAAAAACATGTAAGATGGTTATTTGACAAACCTGTACACAGTTTTCTAAAAATAGTGGAAGATTTCCTAGCTGTGTGTGTAACACACTCACCTTACGGATATTTATTCCATTGCGCCTTTCATGCATCCATTACTATTCATAGAGTTTGAAATTGTCTGAACTTCTTACTTGCTATAATCTATGAATTGAATAGGAGTGCTTGTTATATTACTATATGCTTTTCAATTCATCTGCATTTGTGTTGAATAAATTTGTGCCTTATGAACGCTTATTGTATGTCTCTGATTCCGGTGTTAAATATTTTAATTTTTTCCTTATGGAGGTCTTTGCAGTAGCAAAATAATATTAATTTAGAACTGAATTGTCAATAATCAAAACTTTCATCATTATTTTGACCACCTTTTCAATGGCGAACGGTGGTTTATGTTTAGCCAAATTATGGACTTCTATTTTTTCTAATAGAAACTAAAAATACACATATCTTATATTGTTTACTTCATAAAACAAACAGTTGAAACTATATAGGATATTATGTGTTATTGGCTGTTAACCTCGATCGCCATTACCGGCGACATCGCAAGCTAAGGGGCTTAATAGTCGTAGAAGCAGAATGGTGATCGTAAATCTTAACTAACACTTTCATTGCTATTACTATTTGCAAATATAATTGTGTCAAAGAGAATCAAGAAGTGTACAGAATCACTGCCATTCTGTATAGGCTAATGATGACAGGGTCGAATTAAAAGTTACGCAGAATTTTTCATCGGCGTCGTCATCATCACGTTCGTTATTTGTTTAATTGGCTTTTTGATTGTAGTAGTGATTCCTACCTCGAGGTCCGGGGATTTTAACTACCGCTACTCCAACCGGTCAAAGGTCATACATACTACTAAAACATTCATAGAGAAAAGATTTGCTATACAACTCTATAAACTCTTTTGGGTATGAAGTATTCGTGATGATATTTTATATTCATGTCATATTAAACAACATGCAATAAAAGGACAAAAGAAGTTTGTATACGATAAAAATTTAATATAAAGTCCTACGATAGAATATAGGGCAGTGGCGATTCTAAACATATTTCACTTGAATGAAAAATCCGAGCTGTAAACGTTCACAATTCGGTGTTCGACGTATAGCGGGGCTTTCACAAACGGCTTTCGATCATCAACGATAACTGGCTTTTAGATTTTGATAACAAGATAGAAAGTAAAGTTCAAAGGTTATATGGAATTACAATTTTGACTTCAATATTACGTTTAATTGTTCACAGCACACAACTTGAACTTTACAAGTAACAGTAATTCTTAGCAGAATAAACATTTTTGAAGTTTGAAGTAGATTTTCATGTTTCACGTCCCAATTTACGATTGGTGGAACAGACAGGCGACGGCTCGCGCATATTTGCGTAGGAAGATATAAATAGGAGGCTCTTATACACGTATAAACTGGCCGAGCACACAAAGGTACTCACACAATCGCTTTCAAAATTGTTCCTACCCTACTTTAAGTAATTAATTATTGTGTATCAGGTAGCCCCGGGCCACGCTCCGGGAGACAACCGTTAACTAAACTTCTACAATCTTTTGAACATAATTATTGACGTTTTCCATTTACATTACTCGCAATCCTTGTTTCTATTCCATTTTAATGTTCGTAGCAACTCGGTATATAATAATAACTGGCTAATAAATCACCCTGATCTCGCTATTGAGCTAAAGATTTCGTTGTTTAACAAGCAAAGCTCGTGTTTCAAAGAACTGAAACTTGAAGCACAAATTACGCTTAGAAAATTAAAATGTAGCAAATTCCGTCTTACATTTATCTTAAAACAAGTTTCATCATTAGCCGGCAAACCACTTGACAAAGTAAACGATTAAAATGAAGTTCTCAGAACAAAATTATGAAAGCTAAAACCAGATACTCACCTGAAGTGATTTCTAAATTGTAAATTAACTACATGTGCATTGATTAAATGTCACGTACTTATCCTTGAAAGTTCTCTAATATTTAATTGAAATACTGTTCGCAAGTTCTTAAAATCAATTTAACGGTCACTTGTTAACAACGTTGATATTTTACACTTATACTTACAATGTTTCACGTAACAAAGTATTTTCAAAACTGGCAAAAGTTCCGTAGCATGTTTATATATGATCAACACACAACCACCAATTTATTATCATTTTCTTTATGAATCAATTAACACTGCACAGTGATTTATTGCAAAGCTTAATATTTAAGTTTGATGTTGAAGCCGGCCGTATGAATAGTGGTGGCGAGGCGAGCGAGCGGGTCGGGCGAGCGGAGCGCGCAGGCGGCGGGCGTCGGCGCCACCTGTCGCTGTCGGCGCGGCGGCGGCGGACGGCCGGGCGGGCGACACGGCGGCCACGGCTGCTCACTAGCGACTGAGCGTCGAGCGCCCGGGCACGTGGGGCCGCCGCCGGGCGCCGGCCGCCGCCCACCTGCACCTGCGCGCCCTCACCCGCGCCGCCCGCCCGCGCCACGCACTCTACGCCAGCTTCGTCTGCATCCACTTGCACCCTGTCTGCACGCGCTAAACCCAACACACCTCTAATTATACTACGGATGTCATCACAGCAACCCATCGCCTAACACTCATGCGAGCCAACTCGCGCCCGGCATGTGTCCACGGAAGTACTCATTAAATATTCACGACATTCAAGATAGAGGAAATTGGTATAGGGAAGTATGTATCCGCGTATCTGTGAAGCTCATAAGCTACATGCATGATATTTAAATAAATTACTAATTGTAACCACTTCTATGTGCTACGCCGTAGCCAGTAGCGTCGTCGTAGCCATCGTAGTAGTGTAAACAAACGAATGTATGAAATCAAACAGTCGTTTGTAAATATGAGTTTTCACAACGAACAGAAGTGGTATTGACACAGTCACGGTGCCGGTTACGTTACCGGCACTGCCGGCTGGATGATGCTATTCAATTTAAAAAGAAATGACAAGGAAATGAAAACGATAATGTTCGTATTTATTGTATTTTTTCATTCCATTGCTTGGATATTGGAGGCTGAATATTAAAACACGTAAGAGCGGTTCAATATTTCTTCCATTTTTCTGATTGTGTTAACCGCACATTTTATTTGTTGTTTCTTCTGGGTGTTAATGCTTCACAAAATTTAAAAATATCGTTGTTTTATAATCAAAAAGTAATTATTTGAATACAAAAAACATATCCACTTCCATAAAATTAAACTCTAAGATCAAGATAATATGACGGGCAGAAGTTGCGGAACAGAATCGTGATTAGCGGGAGCCGGGACCTTAGAGGAAAGAACTCAATTTAGGATACGACTTTGCGTCTTTAAAAAATTAAGTTACTTTTGTACTTGGCTTGAAATACTCGTGCGTATATCTGCGAAGGTTATGCAACGTCAAGTCCTGAATGGATGACCGCTTTTTTGAGCGTACAATTTATTTCTGTCTCGGAAAATACATTTAACTGGCGGCGACGGTCTTGAAGACATAGCTCTAACTGTCATCTGCGTATTTATGATATATAGTAATGGAATGTCTATCGGTATCAAGGCTGTGTTATTTCACATGGAAACTTCACGTCACAAACATTGGTTATTTAACCTGACGAGAATATTTTCCACGAAGTTTTTTAACAAAGGACTACACAGGCTAATGTGATCAAATTCACTGAGTTTTATGGACTTACCTTTGTTAAGTAAATCATGAGGCAGTTATGTATACCTAGACCGAACAATGCGTATTGGTTTTTATAGAACTTTAACCAAAAAATAGAAGACATTTACACTGTGATTTGTACATGGAATAGATTTACCTAACGTAACCTATACAATAATAAATACAAAACAACTCTATAAAGTAATATTAACGTACAGGGTAAGGCTTTTTCAAACTAATTCATATTATTTGTGTTTGTCTACTAAATAGGTTTGTTTCATTAATTGATATAGATTACAACATAACATA